AAACAGAGGGAGGCAGCCGTCCACAAGGTGGACCTAGGGTCCACAGCCTTCACTGCAGTTGAGGTAAGCAAAGCTGAATATTTAGCTTTGATGCAATATATTACAGACATGCTGATTTTTTTTTCTTTACAGATCCAGACTGCATTGGTGAAGGAGCTTACTGCTGTGGAGGTCCTCGGCGTCCTCGAAAGTGAGGAAGAGGGACGCCTCTACCTTGTACTGGAAGACGACGTCCAATACGAGGTAGAGGCGTCCCTCTGGGAGCCTCATGAAGAGGAACTCCTCAAGAGGAGGCTTTATGTGGTGGAGGCCCTCCAGGATTGTTAGTGTTTTTTGTTTAATAAATTTAATGAAACTTCAACCTTTCTCCTTGATTTTATTTGATATTAAATGTTAAGTGTTTATAGTTTTATCCTTTTCACACAAAGCAGAACATTCAGTTGCAGACATTAATAGATGGCCTTTTATCAGTAAAGTATTATGAACAAAGTAGGTCAGTAAATGTTAAAGATTTTATATATCTTTAAATCTATCAGAAGTTCTGTCTGAAGATAAATCCACGTGCAGTCATTAGTTACTAAACTGACTGCAGGAGTCTGAATGACTGAAGCTGCCTGTCCTTAAACCACTAACTGCACAGGTTGAGTTCCTTACAGCAGCCTTTTGAACTCGTTATCTGGATGTAAATCACCTGCTAGTTTGACTGCATGTTTCCTTATTGTTAATGGAACAAGTGCACTACAAAGCCCAGTGACAACACACAGGATTTATTTCCTCCCTAAAGTGTGTGAAATTTCACAATTTTTCTCAATTTAGAAATGATCCTTTCATAACATGACACCTAAAAAATATTTAATGTTAAAATTACAATATAACTAAACTAACACGTTATTTATTTGTATTAAAACTTGTTTTTCTATTTTATCATGAAAGTTATGAATCAGATGTCAAAGAATCTTTTGGAATATTACTGAAAGGAGTCATCACTCAAATAGACTTGTTGGCGTATAGGTCTTTTGGAGACAAAACTAACTAGTGAGTTAGCTTCGGTCAGTTAGCATTGCCGTTGTTCAATGCATTGGAAAAATATATAAATAACCAGTCAGAATAGTTTCTAAATGTTTGTCAGAATAGTCACTAAATGTTTAATCATCGTGGAAGTGTGTTTTCATGACATTGTGACAGATTTATGTTAATTATTTGGTTAAGTGGGTTAGCACTTAGTTCCCTCCCGGCCTGCTAATTTAGCCGCGGCCTGCTAACGAGGCTATGTGCAGTTCAAGTGCATTAGCTGTTGTTGTAACTGCTGGTGATGCAGAGGAATGCTGCGTTTATGGCGTTTACATTTCATGTGTTAAAAAAGTTGAATATGTAATTCATTTTTATAGTTAACTACTTAAAATGTTAACATTAAGGGAATGAAATACATTAAAACTTTGAACGGTTCTTGTACTGGAACTGATTTATATTGTTATTTCTCCTGGTCAGTAGAGGGCGCTAGTTTGCACAGTTCGCTATGCTTAGCCGTTTTATAAACAGAGGAAATGTAGCAGGAAGTGTTGTTTTTGCATGAGGTAAAATGGTGTGTGTCGCCAAATATCAAGCCATCCACTCCTCTTTAGCCCTTTGAGTGGCAATATGAGTACGTTTTTGAGTTCAGGATAAATGTGTGTGATTATTACAGTAAGTTTGGGGACGTTTTGATAAGCTGTGTGTGTCAGCGTTACTGAATCCAACCTGAGTTAATGTATAGTGACTGCTAAAATGATATTAATGCTTTAATGT